TGAAATGTTCAAAACTGACGGAGCCACAGAGACAGAGAGTAGACCGGGTGGCTCGTAGCCCAGAGCTGGAGGGGCGGGGGGACGGAGAGAGCTAACGGGACGGGGTTTCTACCTGGAGTGATGAACGTGTTCTCAAATTAACTGGGTGATGGTTGTACGGCCTGGTAAACTGCACAGTGAATTATACAATTGAAATTGGTGAATTGTGGGTATGGAATTTTACCTCAATAAAGTTGCTAAAAATTTTAAAAATAAACGAGATTATGGAGAAAAAGCAGTGGGATTTATTTGTTTGTTGGTTCTGTGAATGTGACTGTGGCAACTGAGTAACGACCTGACATATTCCCTTACCCCCAACTCTGACTTTGATTCTTCTCAGCAGAGCAATGATAAGCTTCTCCATTCTAGATCCCTGAGTTCACTGGAAAAGAATAAGCAGGTCACTGATGAGAAGACCGAGAGCAACAGCATGGGAAGGGCCCTCGTTTGACACGGCCCTCTCCTGCCAGCTACAGCATTTACCTAAATCATTGAAGAGAAAGTGGGAGTTCTGATCCTGGCCGAGATGGAGTGAGCCCAACGCTGCCTCTGTCCTCTGCTGACTCGGACCGAACCCCCGGACCCGACGCAAAGGGCAAGCACGCGGGGGCGCTGGAGGGTTAAGGTCAAAGCGGCGGCCGCGGAGGAAGTGGCCACGCTGGGAAAGGTCTCCTCTCACAGCCTCGCCCCGAGGAGGCGCCCAGTAGCAGAGCTGCTGGGTGGTGCAGGGGCGAAAACGCTAAAAGAAACGCCGTCGTTCCAAAGAACCAAGGAAAGGGGCCCCTGTAGTGCAAAGAACGTGCGGCTTTGCCCGCGACACAAGCCCCTAGTCACAGAGCTGCACGGTGGTGGCAATGGAAGCAGGGAAAGCTCTGAGAGAAACCCCCTCTTCTGCTCCAAGGCCCAGAGAAAGGAGCCCCATACCTGTTGTAATTCCTAATTACACAGGCCAGCACGTACAGGGACCCCGAGAGGCAGCGGAGAAGGGACGCCATGGCCTGTGTGTGAGCCCAGAGACCCCAGGCTCCTCTCAGCGCGCAGGGCAGATCCAAAGCCGCACGGCAGAGGCTCTGAGAACGCAACCAGGCCGACCCCGCTGCCCTCCCAGGCTGGGCCCTGGCGGCGCCTGCGTGGACGGATGTGGAGAGGCACAGCAAAGGCTCTGGGAGCTGCCCGGACCCAGAGCGTCGCCACCCGCAGAAGGGAAGACAGAACCTGCAGTGTGGCCTCATCGGAGTGACCGCCTGCCTTGAAGGGAAAAACCACTCTCAACAGTCCCCAGAGGATTACATAAAAGAACTCAACGTGGGCACAATGCAACATTCAAAGTGTCCCAAATACAACCCAAAGTTACTTGACATCCCCTCCCCCCAAAAAAACCCCCAGGAAAATGTGACCCATTCTCAAAGGAAAAAAAACCAAAACAACTAATAGGTGTCAACCCTAAAGAACTCTCAAATAACACAGATTTTAGGAATCATTCATGACTTCAGGTATTGCAGCTGTATTTCATGAGATAAAAGTAAAATGGTATGAAAGAATGACACTTGGAGCAGAGAAATAGAAACTATGAAAAATAACTGAATGGAAATTTCTGAACCCAAAAGTAAAAATCTGGAATAAAAAAGTCACCAGATGGGTGCACCACCAGAATGGAGGTGACCGAGGAAGGAATGTGTTCGCCTGAAGTTAAATCACAGATACCTAGCAATCAGGGAAGACGATGAGCGGAGCTCCAGGGGCCTGGGGGACAGCATTAGAAGGTCTAACATTCACGTCATTGGAGCCCGAGAAGGAGAAGAGGAGGGATCAGTGCAGAAAAGAAATACTTGAAGAAACAACGGCCAAACACTTCCCAAACTTGGGGGAAGACATGCATTACGGACTCTAAATGCTCCGCGAACCCCCAAACTGAGGTTAAACTCGAACAATTTCCTGTTGACCTTCTCTTGGTAACCCATTCGGGCTTCTCATAACTGTTGTAATTCCTAAGCTATTAATTCACATCCAACTTCATTGAACAAATAGATGCCTTCATTTGATTGAAAACACCATTGATGGTGAGGAGCACCATTACTTTATGGAACGTTTTGAAACCCTGCCAACTAATTTTAAGGTGGCATTGTAAAGGGCACATCCCCATGTCACAGGGGTGAACATATAAGGAAGAAAGGCACGTCTTGGGATAAACATGAAACGTCCAGGGCGAAACGCCCCCCATGCACCAGGAGGCCCACGGCAAGCAGGGTGGGGGCGCGCACAGCCCGGACGCCGGGCGCACGCCGTCCCTCTCCGGACACCACTCGTCGCTTTCTTCCTGGCTTTGCAGGAAAAGACAAAATGGGCACTCAGAGCACCTCATCGATCTACAGCGCTGGAACTCCTGGAGGAGGCTCCCCCCGCCCCCCACTCTACACCCCTTTCTCCCAGCAAGGAAGCAGGCACAGTCCGATAGGAATTCGGTTTCCACCCTAATCCGGCTCTCAATCTTCATCAGACTCCATCCTCTCTTTTTTTCTGGAAAGGGTGACAGGGTAGGTGACCTTTTATTTTCATTTTTGATTTCAGCCTCTTTCTATGCCCCAACCCAGAGGAACTCCTTGCAAATTCCACCCATGTTTGCAAGCTCAAGCTGGTGTCCTTATTTGAATGAAAAATGATTTTTGTCTTAATCTGGGACAGTTTTATGTACCTTTAGAGTCCATTTCATTTTCAGGTTATTTATAAAATACTAAAAGAATGCATTGGAAATTCAGTTTTTCAAATGAAAAAAAAGAAAAGAAAAAGGAGGTTCCAGGTTTTAAAAAATTGCATCAGCCACTAAGTAACGGCCAGGGATACAGTTCTCTTCATAGTATTTGACCCCTTACTCCCACTTTTGAAATAAAACATAGGCTGTATAACCCTGGGTGTGCCTCTCTAATGAGATCCTACTCATAGCTATTAAGCCTTTGGAAAAGAAATGTACCACAACAACATTTCCCTCTACTACATTTAAAAGTTTAGGTTCCTTATTCCTTCCTTTTTCCAGATGTATGATTTTTAACCCTGCCTTTCAGATTCACATGCGAACACCGCTCCTCTGACCCATAAAGAACGATTTCCTCTGCGTGACACTAAGACCCTGCCGCACCAGCGGTGGGCAGAGGGCTGGCACAGGGGTCTAGGACCACCCTGACTGAACGCCACTTTGGACAGTTCCCTGCCCAACTCCAAGTGACCAGTCTGTTCTTTACATCCACAGGGACAGAGGGTTTAAAAAAAATAACATGGGTTTGCTAATGAAAATGGACTCAATGTGGTCAAATCTGGACGGCAAAATGACCAAGCACCCTGTCACACTGCGCGTTTCACCCCTCCTCCGGCCGTGGCGACCCAATCAGGCAGCCTTGCTCCAGAGGAGAGAGTCAGCTTTGCGGAGCATATGTCCTGAGTACACACACCTCGGACAGACAGCCCAAGGTGCCGCGGACAGTGGTCATGGCAGCCTGGCTCATCTGTTCTTCCGGAACCAGCTGGGCTAAGTCACGCAGGAAGCAGAGGTCTCTTCTCGGGAAGGCCATTTTGGTTTCCTGGGAGTCTGGCTGTGACTGACCATCTAAACGGTCCCGCTGTAAACAGACTCTGAAGCGTAACCTACAATCCCAAGCCCTCCATCTGGATGCCCCACAGCGCCCTCCGCATGTGCTCTCCTGGACAGCGAGGAGCTGCTGGCCCTGTGGGGAGGCCCCACCAGATAAGCGCGGGGCCTTTGTGCCGCTCAGTCTGGAAACCAAAACGTGAGAGTAAAACTACAAACTGATGTGTTTCATTTACTGGGACACATGTGGGGTCACTTATCAAGCCTTTTTTTTTTTTAAGAGAAAAACTGGACACGGTGAGTTGTTCCATTCTCAAGCCTCAGAAATATCAGCCATTTTAGGAGGCTTTGAGGAAAAAAATGATCAAGAGTTTCCTTTCAGTAAAGCACATTCACATTTTCTCTTGGCTCTGAGGGAAGGGGTAGTAGAGGGGTGAAGGTCAGGAGCTGAAACTATTATTTGACTAAATAGTTATTTTTTGCAAGCTGCTGCACTGGTGCCACGGAGATCTGGGGTTTGGCCCGAAGGCGCAGCGCCTCGCGGCCCGATCCCCCCACCGAGCAGCCCGCCACCTGCAGCCCGGGGCCGGCCCCGGGGAGGGGCGCCCCCGCCAGGCCCTGGCCTCCAGCCACGCCACCTCTCTTCAGGGCACTGGATCAGACATGGCAGATAACCAGCCAAAAATTTAAAAAGGAAAAGAAAAGACGAGGGGGAGAGGGCATGGGGAGGGAAGAAAAAGCCCCCCGAAAATTTGGACTCGGAGAGTCTTTTCAAACACTTTAATCCTTTCGTGCTGATGGTTCCTGGAGCGTCCGTGGCTGGCACTGGACCCTGCACCGGGAAAATCCGACTCCCGAAGCCAATGCGTTAAAGAGAAGACTGCTAATCATCTAAATAGAAACTGGAATCTGTTCACATGCAGCACCCCCCCCCCCCATCACCAGAGGGACACCGCCGTGTTCTGAAATACACTCTTGACATCATTTGGCAGGCAACCCTATTTTGCTGAACATGATTCATCCCTTAGGTTATTGTTTTTAATATTAGAAAGTGAGCTTTTAAATGCCAAACAAATTTTGCAGCAGGGAGACAAAAGATATTCCAAGTGGTCTCACTGGACCTTCCACCAACTGCGTCCACCAAATGGCTTAAAAGACAACCTTCCCATGGTGTCGCAGAAATGAGGCAGAGGCAGCGCCGTCCAACTATTACCTAATACAAGACTTTGTTCTCCGAGCCCACGGAGACGGCGTCCGTGGGTCGGGCTGAGCTCAGGTGCGCAGAGCCGCGGAGTGAGGCGTGTGAGCACAGCGGAGGCCGGGGGCCAGGCTGCGACAGAGGCCGCGGTGGCTGCAGAACCGGCCTGCTCCTCAGACATACCTCCTGTCCATGTTGCCGCTGACCACGAGGTTGGGGGGGCTGTCCCTGAGGTTGACGCACGTGAAGTCGCCAAGCGCGTTGCCCAGCTTCGAGAGGCAGCGTTCCGCTTCCAGGCTGCAGACCAGGATCTGGGGAGGAAGAACACAGGCAGGTGTCCCACTGCACAAAGCAGACCCACATCCAGCACGTTTCGTTCCAGCATCATCCCGGGCAGGATCATTACCTCAGCTCCTATAAAAGATGTTCTGCCACTAAACTTGCTGGCCTTTCCCAGGCCATGCTATTATTATAGGGATACGGCTATTAGAATGACAAAAGGAAATGCAAAAGAAAACAAAGGAAAATCCAGAGAGCTCCCCGGCCCAAGGCCCAAACAAACTCAAAGGACACAGAGAAAAATGCCAAGTGAGGAAATTAGGTCTCCCAGTTTCCTAGCACGGAGAAAGAGGCGTGGTGGCGAAGGGCAGGACGCTTCTGGTTTGGAATTAGTGGGAAAGCGAACAGACCCAGAAACGTGCAGCGGAGCCAGCATTTTCTTCTTTCCCCGCCTGTACCTACCCCACAGAAGGTAAAAAGAACAGCAGAGGCATCCAGGAGGGGGAAGCGTGCATAGTGAACCACTAGATGATCTCCTTTAGGCTAACCGACAAACCCAAACCCAAAGTCCTGGTCCCAAATGCTTCTCTCTTCAGTCGCTCTCCACTTGCTAATGTTAAGAAGCTCTGGTCCATAAGGCCAGATGAGGAGGGGCTCTGGATCTCACACAGAGTATTTGTTAAATTTATACACTGCATGCCTTCTCTCCAGCAAAAAGAAAAATAAAAGGATGATTCATAAATAATCTTTTTGAAGATTATTTAAATCTTTTACTAAAAAAAATTTTAGTAATTCAATTCAACTTAATTAACATTGAATGCTGCTGTGGGGCTGTACTTAGAGTAGGTACTGAGAACACAGTTCTTGCCGGAAAGGCCTCCCCACTAACGAACTTCTGTGCCTACATTCTATTCTGTTCATCGCGGGGTTACAATCAACTGCTGAACTCAAAAGTTTTAATACTAATACAGTATGCAGAGAGTCTCCTCTCTTAGTTCACACAGAGAACGTGCTTTCTTTTCCTGGTTAACCTATTCATTTATCAAGCACTGGTGTAGAGGTCCTTATTTTAGTATTGAGAAGTTAATAAACTGTCTCCCCCTTGAACTCCATCAATCTTATTGTCAACATACAATGCGAATCTTTGGAAATTCCTAAGAGTCCAAGCAACACTAAAATTTAATTAACTATATTGTCTACAGCATCTGAAAGATGGTGATCTCCAATTTTATAATGCCTTGTTAATCCATAAAGACTATAGAGAGCAAGCTCAATTTTATTTTTATTTTCATGCAGTTGAAAATAGAAGTTTCTGAGAAAATTTGAACAATTCTAAAATATCCAAAATAAGATTATTCCTCCAGGTAAGACCATAGAAATAATCAAATATTGTATCTACAGTGAATAACATTAAAACTACATAAAATCACCTCCTGGAGAGAGAACAAATTAAAAGCAGCAACCTCATGGTCCATCAGAAAAGTAGTATTTTGCAGTCGTCATTATAATAACCCCACTATTAAACTTTTAATAGGGTTCTTGGACTCAATATCTTCTTGTTTTTAAAACAGTTCAACTTCTATGGCAGGAAGGCAGGCCTTTAAAATATAAAATGTCCATGATAAATATACAAATTAAAATCTGGCACTGAGTCAGTTCCCATTCCTGACTTTTTCTAGAAGCTCTTTCTTGACAAGTGGCTGGGTCATTTCTGAGGGAAACAGTGGTATCTCATCCCTCTCCAAGAAGCCCCTGCATGAAGACATCTAAGTTAGTTGTCAGGAGTCAAGTACTTTCTAAAATGTTTAATAATTCAATGAGTCAGAACTATCCGAAGAGGACCTTCATCATGACGTTTAGTTAAAGACCACAGAGACTAGAAAACACATTACCCCTACCAGGGGCGGTTCTCCCCCTGTTACAAGTCCCCTAACGACCTTTACCGTTTCTCCCCCCTCCCTCCCGCACTCTCTCTCTTTTAATAAGGTTGAGCAAATGGGACTTCATTTTATCTGATTGCCACAGACTAGTGAGATTAATTATTCATGCTCACACTCTCCCTCTTGTTAAGACCATGCATTAGACTAATTTTTCTCTTTATTGCCCTACTTGGGTGAGGCTCAACCCATGGCCACTGACTCGCTCTCAGAGGTGTGTGGATATGCTTGGAAAGAAGGAAAAACTACCCATAGCTAAAATCTTGGAGAAAATATTCTGCACTAATGTAACCACCAAATCAATAGATGCTGCTGGGGTTTTTTTTCTTTTAAGTACCAAGTGGATATTACAGAAGAGCTTAAATAGTGATTACAGGGCAAATTTTTATGGGAGTCCGATGGTTCTTTAAGAATTTTCTGAAACAGGCAAGCCCGTTATGACCGGTGCACCCTCGGCAGGGACGGCCGCAGGGGGCGCCACGAGCAGCCCGGGCGGGGCCCCTTCTCTCTGGCTCCCTGGCACACCCGTGGGCGCCCGGGGCGCCTGGGGGAACAAGCCCTGTTTGAAAGGAACATTCTTTCAGTCTGTCTGCCTTCATCTTCTTAGAGATCTTAAAGTATTTTTCATACATCCTAGTCTTAGAATCCTAACTTTCAATTCTGTCCAAGTTAATCTAACATAGCAGAATTACATACCAAAAAGTGGTAACCTCTGTATATCCATCTCTCCGAAATAACCACATGAACAGTTTAATGTCGACAGGGCTGAACTTCTGGACACGCCTGTCTTGTGCCTGTCTCCTCCCTCTCCCTGTGTGTATAAAACTACTCTCTTCTATGAGTGGAATTATTGTCCCACAATTTGTTTTTACTTCAAAATAACATGAGAGTCCTTTCCCTGTCAATACCTCCAGGTAAATCTTGTTATTTTTCTCTACGGATATACAATTCCATACTGATGGATATTTGTTTCTAATTTTGAGAGAAAATAAATAACGCTGTAATCCGCTCAAGAGCCCATCAGCAATACAAGCGTATTAGTCGTCTTCTGCAGTGGGCGCTGGAACGACAGGCACGGCGGATGACGTGCAGAGGCCTCTGCCTGCTGCCAGCTGAAACCAGCCACCTCTTCGCCAGCTGGTGTGCGGCCACCAGCTGTCCTGCTCCTGCATCTGTGGGACTCGCCTCTCTGAGGAGGCCCACCTTACAGCCATGTCCCAGCAGCTGGTGTTGCAGGCAGCAGGGACGGCCATGTGGAGTCGGGCGGGAGGCAGCGGCCACAGGCCCAGGGAGGAGGCGTGAGCTGCCGCCCTGGTGCGGGTGGGCCTGGTGGCCCCCAGGTGTGACCCAGACCACTTAGCGCACCCAGGGCTGTCTTTCCGACCAAGCCGCCAAGGAGCGAAGTGGCTGCTGTCCCTGCAGTGGGAAGAGCTCAAGGCTGGCCAACATCCTCCTCCACCGGGAGGAGCCAGCGTAGCCCAGCAAACACTTCCTAACCCTGGGACTGCGGCCGCCCTCACAACTAAACCGGAGCCGCTGCACACAGAACCGCACGGAGAGGCTGCAGAGGCTGGCGGCCCCGGACTGTCGGTCATGTGCTGACGGATGAAGAAAGGAGCCCCACTTGTGCCTTCTTGGGCTACATTTACCAAACCATCCCTCCTCATACTCATTTATCCGCCAACGGCGTTGTGCGAACCGCGGTGTCAACGCAAGCGGCTGTGCACCCCCATGAACCCCAGCTCTGCCCTTCCAAAGGTGTGCGCAGTGGTCAGAGGCTTCCTCACAAGACACAGCGTTTAAAAGGACGTGGTGAATTGAAGCTAACCTGTCTGCCGTCATCACAAAAGCGGAGGAAGCGACAGAGCTCGATATTGGGAGCTGCTAGAGCTGAAGTGAGAAACAAAGGTGATTGGACGGGAATTCCTGGAGATGACAAAGTCTCCCTACTTTCTCTTCTGGTCCCCAGTAACCCACTCCCACCCTACCACATGTATTTTGCTCTTCTGAAGGGAAAAAATTGTAAGAAGCCAAATTCTAGAGAGTAAGGCAAATAATGCACCCCCCTCCCCAGCTTGCGTCCCTGTCAAGGTCACTCTGCGCCTCCTCGTGCCCTTGGCACACAGAGCTCATCCCCCACTGTCAACACTGAAGGTATTCCTGTCTACACGCTTCCTCGAGTTGTTCCCAAGGTGCCATCTGAGGCTGCGCACTCACCGCCTCCAACCTCTCCTCAGACCTGTGGTTCTCAAATGCTGGAGGGGAGAAGTCACCGAGGAGACCATTATGACAGCAGGCTGGCCGAGGCAGTTACCTGGCACTCTGCCCTATGTGGTCAGACACTGTCCTAGGCTTCGACCATCCATCCCTTGGGAGAGGAATCCTACCGTTCATTCTTGCAGCTCTGAGCAAGGGCCCAGCATGTGCCGCGGGCGAAGTGTACAGACAGTTTGGTGCAGCGATCAGGTAAGCCCAGACCTTACCACAGTCTGGGACACAAAAAATACTCACGTTCCTTTTTTTACTTAACAATCCCCCACTCCCCATTTCTGGACGTCTCATCTTGCTGCTGGCTTGTACGATGGAATCACTTCATCCTCCTCAAAACAGAAGCAGGTTCCACAGATCTGGTTCCATACCATCCAGATTCTACAGCCCCCAAACAGTATCCAGTTCTGACAACACAGCAGACTAGCATGTCTGAAAAGCCCTCCTGTTTACAAACACCAAAAATGCTAAATACGATTCAGTCTATTCATAAACACTCCTTCAATTTATCTGTTTAACTTCTAAGAAATCAGAGACATTCAGAGGAACCAAAAATGGAGAACACTAAAATCAGAGAAGCAAGTGGGCCCTCATGCTCGGGGCGTTTGGGACACCGGCCAGCGTCGGAGCCCAGAGGACCGGGGAGCAGTAGGCAAAGGCTCTAGCCGGCCTCGAATGGAACACAGGACCAAGGCTGCTGCATGAAGCCAAGGCTGCTGCACGAAGCCAGGGCCCCAGCACGGCCAGGCACCCTCGGTCACAGCAAGCTCAGGAAAAGCCTGCTCACTGGGGAAGAGACACCGCCTGCAACCTGCCTGCCTCAGGTC